ACCTTTAGCTTAGCGGTGGTGACGTGAAGTCATGTGACCGTGCTGTAGTTCCTTTATAGCCCAACATTAGCCACCTTTAGCTTAGCGGTGGTGGTGAAGTGAAGTCATGTGACCGTGCTGTAGTTCCTTTATAGCCCAACATTAGCCACCTTTAGCTTAGCGGTGGTGACGTGAAGTCATGTGACTGTGCTGTAGTTCCTTAACCCATCATTAGCGTTTTACTTCAGAAAGTGATAATATTTTCTGCAATAGATGCTAACTTCAGGGTTTGCCTACAAATATAAGTCATCACTGCATCACTCTATTTTGCACTATTAGCAAATGATTCAGCATTTTAGCACTTTATGTTCTCCCTTATAAAAATCGTTGTTATTTTTGTATGTGTTGTTGGTTGTTAGCCTGAATTGAAGTCTAGCTCAAGCTGAAGACATTTTAACGTTTTCACATTTTAATTGCAGTCCTTTCTGTAGACAATGATTTCTGTAACTGATTTGTCTCCTGTCTGTTTTGCCATGCACAAACACTTTGGCTGCCATCTCTTACAAGTGAGTATGTTGGTGTGTGCATGAGCCTCGCAGTGATTTCTGCAGAAACAGATGCTGGATTCTCCTTTTCTCCTCATTAACTCTCTGTCTCTCCCCATTCACAAACAGTGGCTACAATGATCTTCAATGCTTTAGTTCCAATACCAGATAACAGCTCTAGTGTCTCTGTCATTGGGGTAAGTGCTTGTTTCATTATGTTTTCAAATTTTAAATGTGTGAATAATGTTGTGTTTGTGTTGTTGTTTTAATATTTTAATTCAACTTTTTTTATTTTATTTTATTTCCTTTTTTATTTTAAAATTACATTTTATGGAACATCCCATAATGAATTACAAGTGGTCTATTTATGCCCAAATACTCAGATCTTGTGCTCAAGTAATTCACAATGTCCTTCACAAGAAAGAAAAAAAGTTACAATTAAGACCGCAAAAACATGAATACAATAACAAGAAGTAAAAGTAGAAGTACTCAGATCTTGTACTTGAGTAAAAGTAGAAGTACTCAGGTCTTGTACTTGAGTAAAAGTAGAAGTACTCAGATCTTGTACTTGAGTAAAAGTAGAAGTACTCAGATCTTGTACTTGAGTAAAAGTAGAAGTACCAGAGTGTAGGAATACTCTGTTACAGTAAAAGTCCTGCATTCAAAATGTTCCTCAAGTAAAAGTAGAAAAGTATTACCATCAAAATATAGTTAAAGTAGCGACAGTAAAAGTAGTCATTGTGCAGATTGGTCCATTTCAGAATAATATATATGATATGTTTTATAATGATTGATCATCAAGTGTTCTCAAAGCTGGTGAAGGTGCAGCTAGTTTGAATGACTTTGTTTACTGCAGGGTAGCTGTATATAAAAATAAGAATGTAATTTTCAAATCTCCATTCATAGCTTCTTCCTGATTGGGAAAGTTGTTTTTTTTAAACATAATTTTAGTTCATTATCTACTGCTCTTATCCTCTCTTCTTTGTGTCTCACTTCAGCCCATCATTCTGTCTCACTCAGGGTTTAAACATCACATTCATGGCTCCAATTTTCACTCGACCGTATGTTTAATTTTCCTCCACGTCAATACTCTTCGCTGTTCTTCATCCTGCCGCCCCCCTCCCCCTCCCCCCCAGTTGAATGTGACAGGTCTGGACTGGAGCCAGCTGAGTAAGAAGGAGTGTCTGAAGTACGGAGGGGCTCTGGTGGGAAAGACCTGCAAGTACGTCCCCGATCTGGCCCTCATGTCCTTCATCCTCTTCTTCGGCACCTACTCCATGACCGTCAGCCTCAAGAAGTTCAAGTTCAGCCGCTACTTCCCCACCAAGGTGAGGAGAATATCTGCCTGAGCGTCTTCTCTTATAGACAAAACAAAAGGATGTGCAGCGAGGCGGTCATTAATGAAAACAGAACAGGATCCCGACCTAGATAAAATTACCCGGCTACGTATTTAATAAACCCAAGACTTGACTCACAATATTGATTTAGAAATTATCGTAATTGCTTCCGCAAAGATAAAAATACTCTGTTTTCTGTAACCGTCCAAGTCTGTTTACAGTTTATTTACCACTCTTTAAACCGCAGAGCCCATATTGTGTTCCCTTTAGTGTTTACTTCCTGTCTTTCTTCTTCTGCTGTTCCCTTTAGTGTTTACTTCCTGTCTGTCTTCTTCAGCTGTTCCCTTTAGTGTTTACTTCCTGTCTGTCTTCTTCTGCTGTTCCCTTTAGTGTTTACTTCCTGTCTGTCTTCTTCAGCTGTTCCCTTTAGTGTTTGCTTCCTGTCTGTCTCCTTCAGCTGTTCCCTTTAGTGTTTACTTACTGTCTGCCCTCTTCTGCTGTTCCCTTTAGTCTTTACTTCCTAGCCTCATCCCAATACCCCTCCTCGACTCCTTCTTTCCCTCACTCGCTTCCCTTCCTTGGATCTTAGCTCCGCCTCCGTAAGATGCGAGCGAGAGACACAAGAGCCTCATCCAAATACCCCTCCTCGACTCCTTCTTTCCCTCACTCGCTTCCCTTCCTTGCATCTTAGCTCCGCCTCCGTAAGATGCGAGCGAGAGACACGAGGAGGTGACGCGAGGACAGAGGAGTCCTCAGGTATTAATTGGGATTTCCTCGTTCACTCAAACGTCACTTTTAAACGACGTCTGTTAATGATGACATGTGCACAGCTGTATCCCCTCTCATCGGGCTTAACTGAATAACGCTT